CTTGAAGGCCAGCCACATGTGCTAGGTGAGAAGGAAGCTCAGATAGAGAAGAGAGCACCAAATAAAGGGTGTTGTGAAGACCCTCCCAGGGTGGGAGAGACATGCTAAAAGTGGTCTATAGACCAAACATGACTGCCACTCAATGCCTCTCTGGCAAAACACAGTACCCAAAAGAAGAGAGAGAGAACAGGGAGGAATGCCCTGCCACAGCGGCAGGGTGGGACGGGGGTGGGGGGGTGGGGGGGAGGATGGGGGGTGGGAGGGATGCTAGGACCCGTGGTGGGGGAGGATGGGCACTGGTGGAGGGATGAGTACTTGATCATTGTATAACTGAAACCCAAGCACAAAAATTTATAAGTCTATAAGTGTACTTCATGGTGTTTCACTAATAAAAAAATGATAAAAAAAATTAAAAAAAAATAAAATCTAAAAAAATAAATAAATAAATAAATTTTATTCAAGAATAAATTAGGAGAATTCTCAAGCACCACCAATACTTAGTGTAGCTCTCAAGGCTCTAGTGAATGTAACACATGCAGAAACAGAGAGGGAAAAACGTGGAAATATTGGGTAGGAAAAGAGAAAAATAATCAACTTTTTCAGATGATCATATATATATATGTACCGGAGAAAACCAAATGTATCATATAAAAGTTAGTTGAATTAATAATACAGGTCACAAAAATTATAGATACAGAACAAATATACAATACACAATTTTCCTTCAGCAGAAAATTATCAGAAATTTTAATTGGTAAAAGGAATCCCATTTCAGCAACACAGACTTATAGATACCTAGAAGCCAAATGAGTAATCGGAATTACTTAGCTGAAGAAAATAAATTTGGGGCTGGAGCGATAGTACAGTGGGTAGGGCATTTGCCTTGCATGCGGCAGACCCGGGTTCGATTCCCAGCATCCCATATGATCTCCTGAGCACCGCCAGGAGTAATTCCTGAGTACAAAGCCAGGAGTAACCCCTGTTCATCACCGGGTATGACCCAAAAAGCAAAAAACAAAATTAATAAATTTGATTAACAAACATAAAAAAGGAGCTGAGCAAAATGAAGACATATCATAATATTGTCTTCATAAAATTGAGGGACAGTCTCAATTTTAGGATGTTAATATTTTTTAGATTAATGTGCAGACTTACTCCAATTACAATACAAATTGCAAGTACTTTGAGCAGGAATGATAGTACAGCATAGGTCACTTGCCTTGCATGCGTTCCTGGAACCCATGAGGAGTGATCCCTGAGAATAGAGCCAAAAGTAAGTCCTGAGCTTCACTGGGTGTGGCCACAAAATAAAAATAAACAAAAGCAAATAATTTCAAGTGTTTTTGTTTATTGTTGTTCACTTTGCAACTTGGTTGCTTACCACGAATGCACTAATGTGTATAATTGGAAAGTTTTGGTATTGACTAAGGGCAAAATTTATCACAACTCTCCTTTCATGTCTACAGTATGTATTTTCTTATTTTAAAAAAATATTTTAAATACTGGCATTACTCTCATTTACAGGAAAGGAAACCCAAAAGATTCATAATTTTGATTACTATCTATAGCACAGAACCTGTAGAGTACTGAATTAGTTCTTCAGATTTAGGTAAGAAGTCACAGACTCCTTAAGAAACTGATGGGATCAATTGCTCCTATGCCTTCCAATGTGTGCTTAACCAACACACACCCAAAAAACCCCACATTTGTACAACTTCAAGTAAAGCACAGAAGAAATCAGTTGAGAACAACTATTCTAGGTTAATCAGTGTGGCCCGTGGGAGAGTTTTGGGGTACTGGCATAGAGTTGGTAGATAGGGCACCAAGTTCCTGCCAGCTGCAGAAAATGTCTTGTTCTCTCTAGGTGCCTACTCAGTCTGTTGTCCTTCTCACCAGAAGTGTACCTCTTGTACATCAGTTTTATGGGCAAAGGTCGCTTGAACACTGTGGTTGTGGGCACAGTAGGCAAGACTGTGTGCTTCCTTCATTCTTCATGAAAACCTGTAAAGGTGAGGGGGGAGAGCAATCTTGTCTATGCATCCTTGAGTTATCTCTGTAAGAATATGAGGAAAGGAAGAAGGAAGCCAGAGGCATTCACACAGATTAGTCACCTGAATAATGGTGACATTTGCCACTTTGATCCATCTGCATTTTTGGAATAAGAAACAGAATCTGGTGCTAAAATGTAGGGAATAAGAAGCTTTGGTATGTGGGGGCAGGTAAAGAGTTAACATCTTCATGTCCTCTTTACAGGATACAGAGGATTTGACTATTCCTGCACCCACATCCCATGCCGTTTTATCATTTCCTTGGCCTGACAACTTTCCTTTCTTTTGCCCAGAATTAAATGAGGAAATTAGAACCCAATTCAGGGACAGGTGTTCAAAACTGTTGTGGTTGCAGCTATCAAATTAGAGGAGGTTGACACAGCAGTAAGCAATGGTTTGCGAACGTTAAATAAATATGTTTCTCTAACAGAAAAGACAGAATTATCCAATTTAAAAGCTGTCCCAGAAAGAGGAAAAGTAAGATATTGTTTTCCAAAATAAATAAGATAGGATAACTGAACATCTCTCCCTGGATCAATTTACGAATTATATGGTGGCGTGTTTACCTTGTGAGAAAATTGCAGTTTTAATTGTTTAAATACCTTTACATGTTTAGGAAAGTAAAGTCTTATGTGGCCAATATAATTCATGTTTAAACAAAAAATAAAGTTAATAGTGCCTTTCAATGCATATAGGAAATGTTTTTTCATAAAACATGCCCAATTTATTTTGCTTCTGTTTCCCATGCTGAATTCCTATTTTATTGTATATTTTATTGTAAAAAACAAAACGTGATGATGTCTTTAAAAACAAAGCAGAGGATTATTGCAGAAGCACAGACCTCACTCCTGCTCCCCTCCTTTCTGACATTCTGTCCCTTGATTCCTAGTGAATGGCGGTTGAAAGGGGAACAAGGAGAGATCGCCCAATATTCCAGGAAAGGAGAGATAATTCGGCTTCCAAAAAAAAGTAGAAAAAAATGTCAAAGGCTTCGAAGAAGTAAATCCCACCATACCCTGGTAAACAGAGGAAGGCAAATTCTAATCCATGGAAAGGGGCTAGTTTGGCCCTCTGGAGCTACAAAGATCAAAAAATGAGTGACAGGACCTGATGTGGTGTGGGGGGGGTGGGAGTGGGGTAAAGGAGGGGGTCTTATGCTCTTGGTGGGAGTGGAAATCGGGGAACCAAGCTTACTGGCGATGAGGTCCTCACGTGACCAGGAGCTGACGTGGGCAAAGGTACTTAAAACCCTGACTGCCGTCCTCCGTCCCCCCTGGGTACCAACTCAGTAGCGGTGCGCATTGCTGTGCGTTTAACCCGGGCAAGGAGAAGGAGGTGGAGGAGGAGGAGGAGGAGGAGGAGGAGGAGAAAAATCCCCAGATCCGGGCAGGTTGGTGTGAGGGTGAGCATTGCCCAGCACCCCTGCAGAGGGGTAGCCCAGAAATCGGGGAATCTGAGGCCGCGGGTGCCTCTGTCTAGCATTCTTGCTGGCTTTTCAAACGCCCGCTGCTGATTTTGCTGGGCGTCGGGGAGGAGGTGGGGAACGTAAAGACTTTGTTCGTTTACTTTAAAACCGCTTACTTTATACCTCAGCCAAGTGTTGTGGGGGGGGGGGGGGATTGTTTTTCACACTCAGGCCCCACACCCCACATCCCGTCCAATTTGGAGAGGAGGAGGGAAGCAACATAAACGTGGCAGCGTATATAAAACCAGTAGGGAGGTAAGGAAGGGGTGACCGAAAGGGCAGGCAATTTGGAAACAATTTCGCGGTTTCCACCCTTCCTCACTTTGCAGATACTGTATGTGCCCCTCCCCCGCCCCCTGGGCCGACCCCCTGTTTTGGGGAGGGGTGCTGGGAAATGGGTGTGCCAACCTCTGTGAGGGGTGGATTTTGCGTTCTCTGGACTTTTCAGGAGACCCCCGAGAGAATCTATTAAACTGCTGAGCTAACTCCCAGGCTGCTTCCCAGACATCTCCGGCCCGCACAGTCCTTGATCCCGTTTTCTTTTCAGTCCTGGAAGGGGAGTTCATGTTCGCTGGCCGAAGAAATGGCGGTTATCGGGGCATTTGGGTGGGGGGTGGGAGGTGAAGAGTGGAAAATCACGATCCTGAAACCGAAAAAATCATACATCGGGGTTCCTTTTCTGCAGGTTAACGCTAGGCCTGGAGGGTGGGGACTGGAGGGCCACTGAGCATAGGAAGGGAAACTCTAGATTGTTTGGCAGTAATCCCCCATTCCGCGTCCCATCCAGCTTTAGCTGCACGTCACCCCGCCCCCTCTTGCTTCGGTGCAGGAGAAGGGGTGCGGCTGTGTGTCCCGGAGAAATGGCGGACAGGGTGGGCGGGGCAAAGGGAAGGGGCGGCGGAGTGCCGGGGTGGGGGTGGGGGGGCGGCAGCGAGGGGTGGGGGCAGTCTGCGCTCCAGAGGGGATTAGGGGTTTTCAGGGGAGTGCGAAGAGTTGAGGGAATTGAGGGATTTGCCTTTCTGGAATGTGAGGGTTAAAAAGGCAATTACTGCGACTTTTGTCTTGGGTACTGTTTGATCCACCAGCCTCTCAGACTCCAATGTCTGCTGGCCGTCCGTACTTCTGCTCCTCGGTCCGCCTTTATGATGAAGCTCTCACTGAACTAAAAGGAGAGACGTTCCTGATTCCTTGCAGGTCAGTGACAACGGGGCAGGGAACTCTATGGGAATCCCTGGTGTGGGTGTGGCGGGAATCAGACGCTCCTCTTCCTCTTTAAAGATACTATTATCCACCCGAGGTGTATCCTTATAGGTGCAGGGAAATGGGTGTGATAACTATCTTCATAAAGTTTTGGGAAAGAGGAGCTCGGAGAGGGCGGAAACTGGGCCCACAGAGTCTCAAATCAGAAAAGAAAATGAAATCCATCCGCTGAGGGCTGCAGAATGCCCTTTCTTGGGTCTATCCACAGGTCTTTCTGACTTTGGGGCCTTGCACTGCTACAGGAGTGGCGGAAAAGAGCAAACTGCCCCTGCTCCCTCCTCTTTGGTATGTTGCCTGAGCACCATCTGGGGGATCCTTGGGGTTGGATGGTTGTGATCAGAGCAGAATCTGGGATCTCTGATATCTTTCCTGCTCGCCATCATCTTTCCTGTCATGCATACTTGCCACTCCACCATTCAAAACCGGGGGCATTGAGTTTGCATTGGACTGGGAATGCAGGAGTAGAAAACAGGACAACCAGCATTCTGATTCAGCACTACTGTGTGGATACTAATCTACCCACTAAGTAATAAACCTTAAACTCACTCTGAGAACATGTGGTTAGAAATGAAGTAAGTTCAATTTCTATCCTTTACTCTAGATCCTGCTTGGCTTTCAACATCTGTAGAACTTGCACACCTGAGCTGAAGAGCCTCGCCTCAACGTGTACGCATCTGACAAAGACAAGTCAGCTCCACATCCTGGGCCAGAGAGTCATACCAGCTTTACCATGAGCCGTGTTCGAGATGCTGGTTGTGTAGCTGCCGGGATAGTGATAGGAGCTAGCGCCTGGTATTGTGTCTACAAGTATGCTGGGGGAAGAACCCAACCGAAGAAAAGGCCGGCCAAGCCCAAAACCAGGGCTGTGACGGGGACTGGAGCCAGGGCTAGGGCTAGACTCAGAGCTGGTTTCACAATTGATCTTGGACCAGGAGTTGGTCCTCCAACCCCAGTCTGTACTGGGGTAGAGAATAAGGTTCAGGATGACCCTTCTGCTCCGGAGCCTGCTGGAGCTGAGGCCACAGCCCCAGCTATGACTAGTGCTGAGACTCAGAGTGCAGCAGGAAATCAGGTCCAGGAGGCTGAAGGGGTCAAGACTGAGCCTAAAGCCGAATCAGTAGTGGGGGCTGCAGAGGCTTCTGCGGTGGCACAACTTGCTAGGGAGACAGAGGCTCCCACAGCTTCAGAGGTTCCCACAGTACCAGTAGCAGACACGTCTAACACAGAAGAACCTCGTGGGGGTCCTGGGGCAGTAGTGCCTACTGAAGTAGGTGCAACTACTGAGGCAGTGGAGGTTCCTGCACAGGCAATGCCTTCTGTGGCAGCTGTGCCTACCGGTGCAGCAGCACCTACTGGGGCTACAGAGGCTCCTGGAACTTCAGGATCTCCTAAAGCAGCAGCCTCCAAGAAAACAACTCCTGGGGCTCATACTGGGGCTATACCTAAGACTGGGTCAGCTACTGGAGCTGTACCCAAAGGGGCGGCCAAGGGTGGAAACAAGTCCCGGACTGGGAAAGGCAAGGGCAAAAAAAGCAAGATTGAAGTAGATGAATTAGGTCTTGGCTTCCGCCCTGGGGATGGAGCTGCAGCAGCTGCAGCAGCCTCTGCTAATGGGGGACAGGCTTTTCTGGCAGAAATCCCTGATTCTGAGGAAGGGGAGTCCGGGTGGACTGACACAGATTCAGATTCAGACTCTGAGCCTGAGACTCAGCAAAGGGGAAAAGGAAAAAGGCCTGTTCCCATGCAGAAGCGCCCCTTTCCTTATGAAATCGATGAGATTCTGGGTGTGCGAGATCTCAGAAAAGTCCTTACTTTGCTTCAGAAATCAGATGATCCTTTCATTCAACAGGTAGCTTTGCTCACTCTGAGCAACAATGCCAATTATACATGTAACCAAGATACTATTCGCAAATTGGGAGGCCTCCCAATCATTGCCAACATGATCAACAAGACCGATCCCCACATTAAGGAAAAAGCCTTAATGGCCATGAATAACTTGAGTGAAAATTATGAAAATCAGGGTCGGCTTCAGGTATATATGAATAAAGTGATGGATGATATCATGGCTTCTAACCTGAACTCAGCAGTACAGGTAGTTGGACTAAAATTTCTAACAAACATGACTATTACTAATGACTACCAGCATCTGCTTGTTAATTCCATTGCAAACTTCTTCCGTTTGTTATCACAAGGAGGTGGAAAAATCAAGGTTGAGATTTTGAAAATACTTTCGAATTTTGCTGAAAATCCAGATATGTTAAAAAAACTGCTCAGTACCCAAGTGCCAGCATCATTTAGTTCCCTCTATAATTCCTATGTGGAGTCAGAAATTCTTATTAATGCTCTTACCCTATTTGAAATCATCTATGACAACCTCCGGGCAGAAGTATACAACTACAGAGAATTCAATAAAGGTTCCCTTTTTTACTTATGCACTGCATCTGGAGTGTGCGTTAAGAAAATTAGAGCCTTAGCAGATCACCATGACCTCCTGGTGAAAGTCAAAGTTATAAAATTGGTGGACAAATTCTGATGGGCCATGTGCATTTAAAAGATTTAAACATTGTCTTCATTTTGCAGTCTGGACGCAATGAAAATTAAAAGTTTCTGCTCTTCAACTTGTTTGTTTAGTAAAGGGATTCTTTCAGCTGTGTTTTTGAATAATGTATCATCCAGAGTGATGTTATCTGTGACAGTTTCCAGCTTTAAGCTAAACCATTTTATGATACCAAATAAATAGTCCTCTCGTGCTGAAAACACATTTGTGACTTTAATCATGCTGCTGGGTGGAAATATTTTTGCTGGTTCTTCTATGTGAATTGACAGTGAACCTGTCTGTCATGAATAACTAACAATTTTGTCATTTGTGTTGACTTGAATTTATCAGCCAAAGACTTCATTTGTGTATCATCAATAAAGTTTTATGTTTCAACTGGCAATTGTTCTGATACTTGAATTTAAAGTAGCTGGATAGATAAGATAAATTGTTCATAGCACCTGGGCATATTTTCATTGTTAAATATATTATGTCTGCTTAAATGAAGCCTAAGTTGCTAGAAAACTTCAAAGAAGAATGGTTTGCTTAAGCTGGGGTGAATGGCAGAACAAGAAATATTCTGAGAGTTACTGGAAACGTTGACAAAAGAAAAATAATCTGATAACAATTAGCAAAATGGATTAGAGCTAAAATGGAGTTCAGGGTGGATAGTGGAAATAAAAACATGTAAAAAAGTTAAACCAACTATGAGGTGATGAAGAGTGAAATAAAGTAGTGACCATGATAACTGTTAGGGAATAATGTTAATAAAAGAGTCTTACCAAAAAGGAAAAAAGTATCAAGATACAGTGCTTATCTATAAATGGGAGGACTGTATGATCTCATATAGATGCTGATAGAGAAATTCCTCTTTCTTGGACAAGTACAGTGAGAATTAATACCAAAGTGATTTAACTTTACCATTTCTAATGATGAGGAAAAAACTGACAGAAATATTCTTTGATGTAAAGATTATTTCCCCCCATCACCACCTTGAGTTAGAAATACAGATCTCCTTTCTTAGTTTTGGTAAGTCCTTTATGGGAACCTCAACCCTGAGTTCCTGTCAGAGTAGATACACCTTCCTTTTCTCTCCTCTTTGGCCTACTGAAGCAATGAAAAGAGAATACAATATAGAAGAAGTTTCAGAGATTCTTTTCAAACCCCAGTCTGCTTTCTCGCAGCTTTAACAAAATTCTCTTTTGTATTTCACAAAACGGGGATGGAGCGATAGCACAGCGGGTAGGGCGTCTGCCTTGCACGTGGCCAACATGGCCGACCCGAGTTCGATTCCTCCGCCCCTCTCGGAGAGCCCAGCAAGCTACCGAGAGTATCTCGCCTGCACGGCAGAGCCTGGCAAGCTCCCCGTGACGTAATCGACATGCCAGACACAGTAACAACAAAGTCTCCAATGGAGACGTTACTGGGCCTGCTCGAGCAAATCGACGATCAACGGGAGGGCCTTTACCTTTACCTTTATTTCACAATGTCCATGTTTTTCACAAGTGTATGTTGTAATAATCAACATACAGCCTCATGGGAGGAGGAAAGGACTAGATTGGAATTATATAGTTGCAAAATTAATCTGGAAGGTAATTTGGGTTATTGTTTTTTATTGAGGTACGTATTACAATTTACAATTGTATGATATTCATGTTTTAGGCATATGATGTTACTTTATCACACACACCATTAGAGTGCCAATTTCCCTCCACCACTGTCCTTGGGAAAACTTTGGCATTTAAAACTTTTATGGGGGGGTAACAGGAGGGAAACTGGGAACAATGGTATTGGGAAATGTACACTGGTAGAGGGATGGGTGTTGGAACACTGCATGACTGAAACCTAATCATGAATTTGTAAAGGTCTATCTCACAGTGGTTCAATTAAAAAATTAAAAATAAAAAAATCTCTTTTGTATTTACCTTATTATACTTTGTTTCACAAGACTACACTAGTGTTTACTCTTAATGTTTTGATATACATAGTTACCTCACCTCTCTAAAATGACCAAGACCCTAGTACAGCGGGTAGGGCATTGGCCTTGCACACAGCCAACCCAAGCTTGATCCCCAGCATCCCATATGGTCCCTTGAGTACCGCGTGTAGTACTTCCTGAGTGCAAAGCCAGGAGTAACCCTTGTGCATCGCTGGGTGTCACCCAAAAAGCAAAAAAAAAAAATTAAATTAAAAATGACCAATACCCTTAACTAATATCATTATTTTATCACCAGAACAGCCTCTCATCCCTTTGCCCCCACAGCTCTTGTCTGACATTCTCATTTATGTAATCCTGCACCAAGGGTTTGCCATCATTTTATACATTCTAATTCCCTGTCTTGCTAGTCTGAAAACCACATCTGGTATTTGACCTCTCTCTCTGACTTGTGGAAAGCAATTTGGTAATGTGCACTGTAAGCTTTAAAAAAATTTGCCTGAATTTGGGCAGGAGACATAGTACAGGGATTTAGGTACTTGCCTTGCATGCAGTCAACTCCAGAGCAAGACCAGGAGTGATGTCTTGACACCGAGCTAGCAGTAAGTGCAGCCAGATATGGCTCAAGCTACTCCCCTCCCACACAATTTACCTGCCTTTCAGCCAAACATTCCAATTGTATAATTTCCCCCAAGGAAATAATTAAATAATTGTACACAGAAAAAAATGTACAATGATGCTTATTTAAAACATTTTTTCTATGAAAAACTAGAAGCAACTTAAAAGTCTAACACTATGCAATTGACTGAACAATAGGTGTACCACATAAATATTATAAAATATAATATAGTAAAATACTGTGTAACTATTAGAAACCACATTGTACATCTATATTATTGGCATGAAAAAATATTCACAGCATATGAGCCTATAACATTAGTTTTAAAAATTGCCACAATTGATAGCCATTGAAAAACTTTTCAGGAGTTTATTATACCATCTCTGAATTTTTATACCAAATTGGAATAATATTCTACATCCTAGGATCTCAATGTTTGCCCCATGGATTACTGTTTACCCCCAAATTATAAGGTCGAAATAATATCTTTGGTTTTTGGACCCTACACAGTGATGTTTGGTGCTAGCTCCTGACTCTGAACTCAGGGTTCACTCCTGGCAGGGCTCTGTGGACCATATGTGGTACTGGAGATCAAATCCAGGCTGACTGCATGTAAGGAAAGTGCCCTATCCACTGTGTAATCTCTCTGGCTCCCCAAATTATCTTTGCAGCAATAGCGATGTGTTATTTTTTATATTCACTGGTATGAAATTTAAATTAATGAAGCAAAAACAATGAGGATCAAATTGTTAATGCCTTAAGGTCATGATGCTGAACTACAGGTAGTAATTTATTTATTTACAGCCATAATGCTAAATTATTTTAATGTGCAGTTTCATTTTAAAATGACCTTATTGAATTTGGCTGTCAGTTTAATATTTTGCTGTTAAGGGTATTTCTCAATCTGTACTTATCCACCCCATCAATAATGTTTATAAGAAAGCACTAAACATAAAGAAAAACTTATAATAAAATGTCCATATTGAGGTCATTTAAGGAAAAATTATAAGTTTTCTTCAATCTATTGCTTGAGTGAATGTTTATTTTTGCGATAATTTTGTGATAAAATAGGAAGTCTGCACAAAGCACTTCTGCCACATTGCTAAATAAAATGGTCTATGTTAAAGAAAATTAGTTCCACAGTCATTTAACTTGTGTATTACACTAGCTGTTTCTTTTTCATGAAATGTCATTTTATTTGAAAAAAATTGCAGAAGATGTCAGAGAGATTGGTGAAACGACTGAAACAATTTTTTTTATTGTTGAATCACCATGAGATGCACAGTTATAAAGTTTGTCATGATTTTCAGTAATACAATGTTCTAACACCCTTCCCTTCACCAGTGTACATTTCCTGCCACCAATGTCCCTAGTTTTCCTCCCTCCCTCCCCAAGACTGCCTCTATGGCAGACATTTTTCTTCTTTTTTTCCTTTTAGGCACTGTGGTTTGCAATACTGCTTCTGAAAGGATATCATGCATATCACTTTACCTTCTTTCAGCACCCAGTTCTTGTCCAGAGGGATCATTTCCTACTATCATTGTCATAACGGTCCCTCTTCTGTTCTAACCACATTCCTCAGCAGCAGCATCACATACACAAAACCTCGTGACAAGTTTCCTGCTATGTACTAATCCTCCTAGCTCTCATTTATATTGTCTTCAGGTATTATTCTTGTGCTGTTGTTTTAATATCTCACAAATGAGTCTGACCCTCTCCCTCTGACTCATTTCACTCAGCATTATACACCCCATGTCCATTCATGTATAAACAAATGGTATGACTTGATATTTTTCCAACAGTTTTGTTGTATTCCACTGTGTAGGTGTACCATGGTTTCTTTATCCACTCATCTGTTCTTGGGCACTTGGGTTATTTCCAGATTTTGACTATGTGCATAGTGCTGCAATGAACATAGGAGTGCAGGTGGCGTTTCTGCATTGTGAAGCACATGCTTTGTTCTGTGATATCCTGGGTTTAATTCCCTGTGCACTGCCAGAGATGGCTCCTGAGAACCAAGACTGTAACACACCCAACCCCACCCCCCAACCAATGGAAGAAATTTTTTCAGACTTAGGCATTGTTTTCTTGAAAATTAATGAAACAATCCTTTAAGAAAAACAACTGTCTGTACTTGTCACCAAGCTGAGCTCTCAAACTAGAATTTTTTAAAAACAAGCACCAACAACCAGCAGCCTGACCCTAACACTTGAAGTTTTGTTTGTTTTTATACTTTGACAACTTTATTCATTTTTAAAGTTCATAAAATTTTCACTGATATTATTGGTTCCCTCAAATCCATGACCCTTCTGTTTGCAAAAGGCACTCATTCTTTTATAACAGTGCCCAATGTCTTTGTTTTTTAAGTGTTTTAAATTTAGGCACCATGATTTACAAAGCTGTTAACAGAGTTTCAGACAATGCTTAAAGATTTTTTCTGGAGGGCTGCAAAAATAACTCAAAGGACTAGACTGTACATGCCTGCCAGGCACAGGGCCCTGGAGTAAATCCCTGGCATCAAATTAACTCCTGAACACTTCAGAGTGTAATTTTGGTAGCCCTCAGCACCACTGTGGAGGCCCCTTCCAAAATATTTTTCTTAAAGTCCTTTTTCTTCTGCTGCTATGGAAGAAATGATGAAGAACTCTAGGGCTTAATGACAATTTTATTCAATTTTACTAATGACTGTTGTTACCCATATAAACTCAAATCCATGGCCACTTAATAAATGAAAAGCATTGACTGGTAACAAGGTCCTCTGGATAAGGACAAATCCAAGAATGTTTTAACCCTGTTAATAAGGAAAATCTAAAAATGATGTCATTACTGGAACAGTAAAGTTTTCTGA